AAAAAAAAAACACACACACACCCCACGAGGCCAACCATGGCTTTTCTACATTTTCCCCTTGGTAAGTTGTATCTCCGACCTCATGGTTCGAGCTGGAACATAATTATTCCAAGAAAAAGCTGATCTTTCAACTGAAAAGGATTCCATACGCTATTTGACACTTCAAAAATTCAAACTTCTAAGAAGCTAATACAAGACCCTTTTTCATAATTACAATAACGACAAAATTTTACCTCTTATCGTACACTATTTCTTTATAAAGTAAATAATTATATTGATGATGGGGAAAACTTGTATACAAGCCGTATACTAAAAAAAGTAAAGAACCTACACTGCAATATGGTTCTGTACAAAGAAACCCAATCATCTATACATGTATGGACCTCCTGGGTGAACCAAAAAGAAACTAGAAACAAGAGACTGTTTTGCAGTTTTCTTATCTACACTTCTGTTAGTCAAAAGAGAATTCATGAACTAATAGAATCAAAGTACTAGATAACGAACTTAGATATCATTGGATGGTTACACACCTCAGAAAAAGTTCCAGTCAATTTGTTCAAGAGTGTCGACTTTCCAACTGAAGGAAAGCCCACTAAACCCACTCTTGCATCACCGCTTTTTGTAACATCAAAACCTTCTCCAGCTCCACCACCACCTTTTGATGTAGGTGTAAGAAGCTCCCTTCGAAGTTTTGCCAGTTTTGCCTAGCCATGCATTGCATTACAAAAGTATTAGGCCGTAGTATGAAAAACAAATCATACAATAAAATAACCATAGCAAGTAATTATAGTTTTTATGCATGTTAACATTTAATGAGTGTGCGAAAATATATACTTGTTTTTCCCATGTGTACTGCACATATCTCTAACCAAAACCTAATGCAGAAATTCTGATATTATACCAATTAGATTTTCGGAAAAGAAAAAATATCGAGTTTTGGAGTTAGAGATGTGTTATAATGCTGTCAAACCACATCAACAGTTATATACAACAAGATGTCCTATGCTAATCTGAGAAGCTCTTGAAGCTCCCTCGAAGGCTTGCCGGTTTTGCCTAACCATGTATTGCATCACAAGACTACCAGTTTGTAGTATGAAAAGCTCATTGTACTATAAAATAACCATAGCAAGTGAATTTAGTAAAATCTCTTTGTATTGATGGTAAATTTACCTATTTATTTTTTAGCATGTTGCTATTTCAGAGATGAATGAGTGCGAGAATACTCGTTTCATCCCACGTTACTGCATCTATGACTAACAAAAAACTAATATCAGAAATCTGATAATACACAAGTTGGAGTTCTGGAAAAGAAAAGAAACATCAAGTTTTGGAGTTAGAGATGTGTTATAATGATGTCAAACCACACCAACAGTTATACATAGGACAATTATACATGCTAATTCGAGCAGCTGTAAACAGAAAATGCCGCCGCTAGAAATGAAGTGAACAAGAAGAAGTATACAGGATTAAAACATAGTTCGATGACTTTCTATCACAGAAAGAGTAAATGGAAAAGTTGCTAATAAAGAGGAAAAGAATATTAGAACGTTCTTTCATAGTAAATGACATGAATTATGTAATTCAAGAAGATAAGATCTAAACTAGCGTTAATTTTACGCATTACCTAAATATCACCTTAAATGTTTTAAAGAACTCAAGACTGTTTGTAAAACAGATATTCTCAGATCAACCAGCATCTAAACTAGAGAAAACAACTAAAAGCATTGGAAGATTATATATGCACGGTATCTTGACAAACCTAGGGCAATTTTTTTNTAAGAGTCTTGATTAAAAACCTGATTATGGAAGGGGGGGAAAAACAAAATCCAAATATAACTTTAGAGTGATGTAAGCTCATGACATGTCAACAAATCCAAGAATGTGAAAAATCATACTTCCCTTTGTCTACAATAATGAACATAAAACATAAGCAACCCAACTGCATATCAATGACCCGACAATAAATTTCGTGTAACCTCAGAAATTAACCAATCAAATATTTGTGACTGTGCTACCTTTAACAAACCGAGATGATGAGCAGTAGCTTTGTTCTTTTGGGTCTTAGCCATCTGCAAGCAAAGAGACAATTTCTCACTTTCTAGTCAACAGTAATATCTATTCGGCGTAAAGAAATAAAGGTGTCATATGGCCAAAGACATAATTGAGCGAATACAAACTGAACAAAGAAATATCTAGAATTTAATGAAAAGATGCAATCAACTTAGTTTACTCTGCTACTCTAATCGGTATGATTCAAATACACATAAGAAGAATCGAATAGATCTATTAATATGGATTTTTCCTCTTTGACTTTAGATGCATGAACATTGAAAGTTCCAGGTCTACACAGCACGTTCAAAGTCTTATTTTTTGATAATATTTTTTTTTTGATAAGGTAAGTTATATTAATCAAAAGGAATAAAAAAAAACTCCCGTATACAAGAAGTATACCAAAAAGTAAGAGAATTTACATCAGAACATGATTCTCTACAAAAGACGCCCAATCTTCTACACAAGTAGGTGCTATATGGGTGCACCAAAAAGCGATCAAAGATAAAAGACTATTCTTAAGTTGTGAAATAGAAGACTCAATCCCCTCAAAAACTCTCCTATTTCTCTATCCCCCAAACTATCTACATAAGAGCTAATGGGGCGAACTTCACACGCCTTTTGCTTGCTTCTTCTGCGAAAACCGGCCCAGCTATGTAACATATCCTTTACAGTGCTTGGCATCACCCATTGAACACCAAAAAGATATAAGATTGCCCTCCACAAACCCGAGGAAGCAGGGCAATGCAACAGAAGGTGATCAACTTCTTCCCCTGAGCTTTTACACATGTAGCACCAGCTAACAAGTGTAATTCCTCTCTTTCGCAAATTTTCAGCAGTCAAGATCATTCCCCTCACCGCTAGCCAGGCAAAGAAGCACACCTTCGTTGGCGCCTTAGGGATCCAGATCGAGGAGTATGGAAAAGTAGCCTCCTCTCTCACCAACATACTCTGATAAAAGGACTTTACAGTGAACAAATCATCGCCACGCAACCCCCATCTCCAAGAATCACACGATGGATGGGGCCTTTCTTGCATGTATAGCAGTGCCAACAAATCTTGGAGCTCTGCAATCTCCCAATCTTGCATGTTCCTTCTAAAAGAGAGGTCCCATACCACCACCCCTTCATGCTCCTTGCGAATTTGTTGGACCATTAGTTCCTTCTGGTTTGAAACTCTGAAGACGTTGGGGAAAGAGACCCTTAGAGTATCCTCTCCACACCACCTGTGATTCCAAAAGCTGATTCTCATTCCATCTCCCGCCCTGTAAGTGATGTTGCCATTGAAGGCTTCCCAGTTCTTCATGATGTTCCTCCACATGCCACACCTGAACGGTGTTGTGATTGCCTTGGTCCTCCAACCCCCTCCCGTTGAATCGTACTTTTCTACTATGACCTCCCTCCATAGAGCATGCTCTTCTACCCCGAATCTCCACAGCCACTTCCCCAGCAAAGCTCTGTTGAATACCCTAAGATCTTTTACTCCAAGTCCACTCCACTTCTTTGGGGAAGTGACTGTCTCACAATTCACTAGATGAAACTTTCTAGTTTCATCCGCCGCATCCCAAAGAAAATTCCTTTGAAGGCGCTCCGGTTTATCTGTGATGCTCACTGGAGCTTGCAACAGGGACAAGTAATAGGTAGGATACTCGACAAAGTGCTATTGATAAGCACTTCCTTACCACCTTTTGACAAGTATCGTTTCTGCCAGCCTGCTAGTCTTTTTTCAACCCTTTCAATCACTGGATTCCAAACCGTAGTATCCTTATGCGAAGCGCCCAATGGTAAACCTAGGTAAGTGGTGGGAAGAGAGCCCAACTTACATCTGAGGACATGAGACAAAGCATCAATGTTGGCAATTTCACCCACCGGGAAAATCTCGCACTTGCCGAGGCTGATTTTGAGTCATGATACTATCTGAAACCACTGCAGGATCTGCTTCAGGCAGGTCAACTGATCCATATCGGCATCACAGAAAACCAGGGTGTCATCCGCAAAAAGCAAATGAGAGACTCTTCGGGCACTGGGCACCCCGATCGGAGCTAAGAATCCTCTCAAGAAGCCTCCGTCCGCCGCACGATCCATCATTTTACTCAGAGCATCCATCACTAGGATGAATAACATGAGGATAGGGGGTCACCTTGCCTGAGGCCCCTGGAGCTGCCAAAGAAACCACACGGGCTACCATTAACTAGGACAGAGAATCTGACTGAGGAAATGCAGAACTTGATCCATCCCCTCCATCTTACCCCAAACCCCATCCGCATCATAATGAAATCCAAGAACTCCCAATTAACACAGTCGAAAGCCTTCTCAAGGTCCAACTTGCACAGTAAGCCGGGTTCCCTATTTTTCCTTCTGGAGTCTACTAGTTCGTTTGCCACCAAAGCGGCGTCCAGGATCTGCCTACCTTCCATAATATATAACAATTAACCAAAGTTAATGGTGGATTTATTTTGTTTTCGATTTAGTTAGAATATAAGAGTGAAGATAAATGGATTTAAATCTACGGGTATGTTAGGATAGCTCCATTTCGAGTGGACTTAAAGGTCCAATACTTATTTCTCGGGTTTCAAAATTATTGGGTTTCACCGGGACACCGAAACTTGATTGTCCATCATTTGATGTCATTCACTATGTTGTATGCAACATAATAACCTACCAATTTCAAAAAGTATCTTGAGGCATGGACAAACGAAGCAAAAACTTGCACTAAGCCATATAAGTTTATCCAAACCTTGCTATTTAGTAAGTAATACTTATCAAATTAGGGACTCAGAATGAGACTTTTCATAACGGTAGTGTCTAGACCAGTTTGCGTGCACCTCGACTATTTCACCCGGTACCTGCTACCTCCTACCCGCCAGGGGCGGATCTACGTTGCTACAAGCGGTGTCATCCGACACCGCTTTGCTAAAATTTTCTACAAAATTATAGGTGATTGAAAAACAGAAACATCAATAGCCATTGAGATGACACTACTTTACAAACAAAGTGGTTCCAGTCTGGTGGTCGTGCGGGATCCTTGCAGCGAAGGAGGTCACAGGTTCCATTCCCGGCATAGGCGCTTATTCTTTATTTTATTTTTACATATAAAAACCTCAGAATGACACCAGGCCCAACCTGAGCAAAGGCCATAGTACGATTCAGAGAAAGAATATGAAACAGAATCTAAAGGAACTCTTTGTTTAAACTTTAAAGGGCTCTTAATATTATTATAGAAAAACATATATCGTTGGCTTATATATTCTATAACTTCTTACTTAGTTCTGACTTCCTATTCCAATTCTGCACTCTCCTTTACCAGCTCCAACCTTGGGCGGCTCATCACGTACGATTCTCCATTAGATTCTTTTTTCCCCTAAAGTAATTTAAGTATATTTTCTTGGGACTAGTGTTAATAATTTATGATTTGGAATCTTGGAATAAAGAATATCACAATTGAGATTTAAACATAGGATCTATAGCAACTTTTGAGCCCCTTTCCTACTTTACTAGAATTTTTCCTAATGTCAAGGGAATTCAATTGTTTACATATAACAAAAAAATATTTGTTTATATCCTAATTATGCAATATAATATTCTAACAAAGGGATTCAGTTGAACCCCTTTTCTCTACTCCACCGCTTTGTCTCATTGTAGTAATTTGTTTACTGGTTCAATTTTTAAATTATCGACACCACTTGTATAAAATCCTACGTACGCCCCTGCTACCAGCCGATACCGGGTAACTCTGACTACCTCAAATGGAGAAATCACCTAATTCTATTGAGATTTGAACCTAAGACCTCATAGTTCTCCTTGGAACCCAAAATGATATCTTTCCCATTCCATTGCCATTTATTTCTGAAATTCCATTATAGAAATCCAGTATATACTTGTCCTTTTGTTTAGGAAATATAAGCATTATCCTTTCCCGTTTAATTTTTCTCATTCTGTCTTTTCCATTTCTCGGTTAAATTTCATTTATTTTTTTATGCAAAAAGAATTAAGTTATTCATACAGCTATAAAAAAGCTTAGATACTCTACTCTGAAAATTAAATAATGCACAAAAAAATCAGCCTTTTTTAAATATCATAAAGCTCTATAACTAAAAATGTTGATTTTTTAAAATAGTTAGCAGAAAATTGATACAGTAATAGCTAAAATTGAAATGATTAATTTCATTTAATCATCTGAGTAATATATTTTTTCGAATTTAAACGAAATAAAACAATAAATCGAGTCTTTTTTTTATACCTCATCTTCGATGTCTTTGATTTTCTGCATAACGGTCGCCATGGTTTGGTGGATTCGAACTCTCTGGAAAGTTTCGACGGAAGAAAGGGGCAGAGAGAAGAGGGACTAAAGTTTAAAGACAGCGCTGAGAATTTAGGAGTTTTCCCGAGTGTGTGCTTTTGAGGTTTAGTGACGGAGAAAATGACAAAAATGATCCTTACATTTGGTGTAGATTTAAAATGGTGTCTTAATATGCTTTTGAGTAGTTCTGGTCCCTTAAGTTTGTTAAAATGAACACTTTTGGTCTTCCTAAAAATTTCACTCCTTTCGATTGATGTGACAAAGTTTGACTTGGTATAAAAACTTATGATTTTAAAAGCTAAAAACTTGTGGTATAATAATATTTGTATGACAATAAAAGTATCATGATCTAAATTTTCACTTAATTATGATGATACCTAACCCCCAACATGCTAGGTAAGGCAAACAATAAAAAACATAACTCGAATGAAAAATATTATCATTAATCAATACTAAATAAAATGGAAAAAATCCATACTACTATCTCAAAGATTGATAGTACAAGTTATAAGCCACTAAGATTTAGGTTTACAATATTGGTACGAAGAAAATATAATATCTGCTTGAATATACATAAATAGATGTCCAAATCCTAGACTATCATGAATAAGGTGGTAGCTTCCAGTTGGAATGTGAGTACATCCTCGTTGCTAGCCTTCGACATCTACAATAGCTCAACTCTAAAATCTGCACGCAAGGTGCAGAAGTGTATTATGAGTACAACCGACGTTATGTACTTAGTAAGTATCTTGATTAACCTTGGTGAAGTAGTGGCGAGATTTTAAGTCAAAAAATACTCGCTAATATAACATGTGCAATTCGTAAGCAAAAAAAATAATAAGAGAAAAGACAAGTAATAGTGAAAGAGTCATACAAGGGAAATAGTGAGTATGATCAAACATAACAACCAACTCTTTCTCAATAAACATGTACAAGATATCAAATCAAACAGTATGACAACACCCTTCATGTTTTTACCTCATCGTCATCAAGCATAGGTATATATGTCAAATCGAATGGAACGGCAACACCCTTCATGCTTTTATTTCATCATCATCAAGCATAAGTATAATAACACCAAATAAGGTAGAAGGCGTATAACTAATAATAACAATAAGGTAGAATGCATAGATGTAACTACAGTAAACAAAGTAGAAGACATAAATGTAATAATACAAGCAAAGTAGAAGGCATGTAGATAATAATAACAAACAAGGTAGAAGACATGCAGACGACAGTAGTAAACAAGATAGGAGGCATAGATGTAACAACAACAAGCTATATATATTATCCTTAATTGGTTTAATGGGTAGGCTTCTTAGAAATTCTTATACTCTACAAGTCTTGCTGCCGAACAAGTATTTAAGCACATGCATTCTTTAGCTGCACTAGTATGGAGAGTAGTGCATTATAGAATTTCATTAAACGGAGAAAAGATTAATTCGAACAATTTTTTTTTTATATGCGTGAAATCTGGCATCTGACTTAGCTAAAGTTTTATGAAAAATCAACCATCACTAGAGGTAGGCCATCAAACACTCAGCTGACTTAGGCCATTTGCAGTTCTAGTCAACTCTGGAAATGTATACAAGTACATAAAGAAATGAAGACAAGCAAAAAGAAAAAGCAACAGACTTCAAAATGCAAATGGTTGAAAGGATTCTCTTCAGATATCTGAAGTTAGCTTTTATTGTGCTCTACAAATTTGATCTGCTTTTATAGCCTCTCTTTTTTCATTGGCAGAATACGTCGGCAATCCATTAAACTTGTCCTCACTTTCCACTATGACACTTAATCTTGAGTATGTTCTATTTGAACTCTATAATAAAGTTATTATTGTGTCACTTAGACACAAAAAACACACGGGCCACCTTGCGTGGGAATCATAGATGATTAGCGCGTGAACGTTATAAAAAAAACTGACATGGAATATTCCAACGGTAATAAACCAAACCCCACATTATTTTCCTTATTTTAACCCCTTTCTCCATTGTTATCTTCTTCCAAGCCCTAATTTTTCTCCATTTCAACTGAGCTAAATTCTTCATCAAGTAGTAAAAATCAGAGCTTTTTTTTTCAATTTGAAAGAACTCCATCCTCCTTAGTCGAATTTTTGACGTAATATTTCTTGCTAGCTTCTCTTAATTTATGTTCAAATAATGTCCCAAAACACCGAAGGGGGTGACTTGTATTGATGTGGTCGTCCGTGTGAACTGAAAATTTCATGGAGTGTTGCTAGCTCATGAAGAATGTACTTTATATGCAAAATTGGCAAAGTAAGTGTATTCCGCAAAAAAATCTTTTATACGATTTTATTTGCCATTGATTTATATCAGTTCATTTTTTTATATTTTTTGAAGGACAATGGGGGATGTTAATATTTTAGATGGTTTGAGGACGAGTTTCCTAAGCAAGCGAATAGAGTTATATGGGGTTTATTGAAGCGAGTGAAGGCATTTGATCAAGAAAGAGATGGAGCAAAAAAATGGAGGAACACAACATTGTTTGTTGTTCTACTGGTGGCCTTAATCATATTTCTTTGTTGTAGTTCTTGCTCTTGTTGATGGATTGTTCTATTTGGCTTTGGTCTGTTATGAATTTATGGGAAAATCGTTTGTAATTTAGGCTAGTTAATGTAGTTAGTATCTTGTGTTAGGATCCTATTTTGTATAATTTCTGGGAACTGTTGCTCTACTTTTGTTTATTATTGTTATACTTGGGATGGTAGGGATCCTATTTTGTGTAATTGATACTGCCTTATCAATGCAATATATCTTTGTTTTTGGTAAAAAAAAATTGCAATTCTTTAGTGTTTACTATTGTTGTACTCGTATCATGTGTTTTTATTCGGCTGATTTTGTTTAAAAAGGTATCACTGTTTTTTTTCAAAGATGGTGCGAATCAAAGCTAGTTCATTGCAAATGCCTTATGAATGGAATGGAACTTAGTTAAGTTCCAAAAGTTAAAGGAAGTGTTGCAAACTACGGAAGTGCATATTACAGAAGTGCAAAAGGAATGAAACTTAGTTCACTGCAAATCAAAGAAGTGCTGGCACATTACATAATTTAGTTTCAAAAGATACCAGTGAGTGCAACAAACTACATTCAACAAAAAAAGCAAGTTTTAACAAAAACAAGTGTTGCATATTACATAATCTTGATTGGTCACTAATTTTTTTTGACTAGTTTATCCATGATAACTTGAGTTGAAGACTGAGATGGTGCTTGTGGTCCAACTTTGTTCTTCTACTTGCTCTCATTTGATGCAGTTACGAAATAGTAATAACATCTCTCCCATTCCTTCTACATTATCAGGAGAATCTTCCCCACCAGCAGCAGCCCCTTCCCCACCAATAACAGTCTCAAACTCGTCAAGTGGAGGCTCTTCAACACGTTGTGGTCCATTTATACTGTCTGGACCATCTTCTAATGTTGTCCTAGATGGATTATTTATTGTGTTGTTACTTTTTTCAACAACCTTTGGCCCACATAAATATCCAAATGGGACCATACTATCAGGAATTCTCAACAATATGTGAAATATACAAGTCTAAAATACCCTCCTTGCAGTAACAAGCAATATTATATAGTTGTTCATCATTTTCCACCAAGACAAATTCTTTGGTATTAGGGTTAAAGATATAAAAAAAACCAATAGTTGCATAACCCAACCCCTTGTGTAATATTGAAGTTCAAACAAGGAGAAATGATCGTTGTCAATAGAAAACTGATTTATCTCTATATTAGTAACATATTTGGCACCTGGAGATTCGGTGAATACATCACTATGGTGAAAACGGACAAGAATGTATTCGTCCACTGACATGATTTTAACCTAAAGTGAACAAAAAAAGGCAACACATGAACACAGTCAGCAAGATTCGAAGAAAAGAAATAAAAAAACCTATTTTTATATCTGCAATTCCCAAAACACCATTACTAACACAAAAAACCTAATAAATAACTAAAATCTCAGTAAAAGAGTAACTCGAGACATACCAGTAAAGGAGTAACTCGAGACAACACTCTTGCTGAAGGCCACCCTAAATAATTCACTTCACAATTTCTTCAGATAATAAACGAAGACGGAAGTGAAATTTGGACAAATTTCAGGTTGTTAGCTTCAATCTTTTATGAGAAGTAGCAGATGATTCCAGAATCTTCTCTAATGGCGCAATCGATTTTGGAAAGAGAAGAAGATAGACGGAGACGGGAGTGAGGTTAGGGTTTTTTACTGAGGGGCTGTAAAGATTAAAAATAATTATATGGGGTGGGTAGTTTAATCTCGAGCCTGATGTGCTTGACTTGGAATTACCCGGTACACATGGATCTTACGTGGACAATAATTTCACACGGACTAAACTTGTTCGTCGGCTATTACACGTTAGCACCACTTATATACACGCGCTTGACTTATAAAAGACCGTATATTTTTTGTGTTTAAGTGACACAGTAATAACCTTGTTATAGGGTTAAAATGGAATAGACTCAAGATTAAGTGTCAAGTCACATCAAACAACGCTAAAATCACAAATCACACCCCAATTCAAGCTTAACGAAACTAATGAATTTCAACTTCTACATTCGATGCCGAAACCTATCAATTCAACTCCGATTGGCCTTAAATTTTGCACAGAAGTCATAAATGGCATAACAGAGCTATGAAAATTTTCAGAACTGGATTCCGACTCCGATATCAAAAAGTCAACTCCCCGATCAAACTTTCAAACTTAAATTTCTATTTTTCGTCATTCCAAGCCTAATTTAGCTACGAGCTTCCAAATAAATTTTCTGGACATGCTCCTAAGTCCAAAATTACCATACAGAGCTATTGGAATCATCAAAACTCTATTCTGAGGTTGTTTACACATAAGTCGATATCCGATCACTATTTTAACTTAAGCTTTAAACCTTGAACTAAGTGTTCCAGTTCATTTCAAAACCTCTCCGGACCCGAACCAATCACCCCGACAAGTCAGATAATAACTGTAAAGCATAAATTGAGCAATAAATGGAGAAACGGGATTGTAATACTCAAAACGATTGGTCGGGTCATTACACCGGTAGGAATAAGTCACAAGCTTCTAAGAGAAATTGGCGAAACT